TGGCTCAAATGATCAATGGAGAGGAATCCTCGAAAGTCGCTTCTCTAGATTTTTCTGATCGATTACTGCACAAGGTAAGCGGCGGGGATGACTCGCCGGGTTCTTCATTACATTACTCGTCCTGTGGTGAATCAGAGTTTGAGCGGTATTGTAGTGCGAATTCGGCTTTGGGTACCCCAAGTATGTGCAGCTCCACAGGACCATTTCACGATTCCTTGGAATCTGAATTTGACTCTTCCAAAGGAGCTTTTTTGTCTGGGGAATTTGAGAATTTTAGCTTGGGACCAAGTCTAGTCAAGCTTGATCGAGGAATCGGGTTTTCTAAAGAGGGTATCACGAATGGGTATTATAACGATGGGATTAGTAGTGCAGGCGGGACAAGCACCGTGAATGTGAACACTAATATGATGCAAGAAACTGGATATAGTGAAGATATGTGTGATGATTTGACGGGTACTAAGGTTTGCGATGAAGCTACAGTTGAAAGGGATTCCATGAATCAGTTGAGTGATGCGGATGACAATGAGTTTTTATGTGGATCAGATTCGCAGCTCCATAAAAGTGGTATAGACAGAGAAGGTGGCAGTTCAATAGATGATGAGCATTCTGACGGTGATGACTCATTAAGTGATACGGGTGACGATTCTCATAAAAAGTTATGTTTTCTATGGAATTTACAGGATAAAGAGGAGTCTAAAGCTGAGAGCGATAATCCTTTTCTCATCAATTCGTCCACTGCCTTTGGTACAAATGATTGGGATGAGTTTGAGCTTCAAGCCACACAACTTATTGACACGCAGTTTGACTTCAGTGGGTTTGAGGAGCATGACAAAGGGTGTACTGAAACTAAAGGGACATCCAAACAATCATTTTCTGCAGCTTTACAAAAGCTTCCAGATGTAGCTCAAGCAGGAAAAGGGCAAGAACAGATAAACGCACCTGTGAGCACTGGACATACTCCACATGTAGGTTACTTCCATGCAAATATTGAAGATATTCAAAGATCTAGAGATTTAACTGTCTTGACTCAAAGGGAGCAAGGTGGCATAGCAAGAGACAGCATAACTGACAGAGGTTCTGGAGACCTGAGCGCTGAAAGCAGAACCTTGGTGGTTCCTCAATCAATGGTAACAGAAGAATTTCTTCGAGACAGTTGTCTTAGTAATAGTCAGACTGAAGATAGACCTGTAGGAATGAAGTACCTTCAATCTTGTAGCGCTGACAACGTCCTAGATATTACACCAATTGAGTTAGGAAACGAAGATTCTTCAGGTGGGGTTTGCGGCCTCGATGGCGATGTTTCTTATGGACTACTTCATGAATCATCTGAGAATGCAATACAATCAAATCCATTTGGAGAGTGCACCTCAGAACCTTTGTTGTCATCTTTGAACTCTGATGAGCCATCATCTAGAGATTCCCATCCTGGAACAAATGCCTTACAAGTCACTAACACCCAACCTAAGGTCAGCTGCTTGATATATGAAACATCATTTACGTTAATTTTTCTCTGCCTGTCAATTTATTTTACTCTTTATCTATGCTTGCATTGGTAGAATGTGTCCTTGGGTTATCACCAAGTCTGTTAGATTCTCATGCTCTATTTCTGGATAAACAGTGCATTTTAATTTATTATGCTCCTCTTTAACTGGATGTCGTTGTACTACTGTGTTAGTGTTCCCATTTAAGTTAATTGTTCATTAAGAAGTGCTCATGCAATCTGTAAACGTCGTGGATTTTACTGTATCTCCTTTTGATTTCATTCTTTTATCATTTGAATGAAGTTTTCTGGTTTTGGATTACTCATCTTGCAGAAGGAGAACACAGAACTTAACGACATCTATGATGATTTTGTTCATGATATGGAAGAAATACTGCTCGACGCTGGTGAATCATCTGGGGCAAGGTATACTAAGAGTGACAAGATGTTCCAACTACAGCTCTCTCTGCCTAACAGAGATGGGGGGGAAACTGCTACAACGTCTGGTATATATGATTCATCTCCAATAGTTTCCCAGAGATTTAGGATTGATAGGGTTGAAATTGTCGGGGTAAAGCAAAAGAAAGGTGATGTCTCGCTGAGTGAGAGATTGGTTGGGGTGAAGGAATACACAGTGTATGTCATAAGGGTTTGGAGTGGAAAGGACAAGTGGGAAATTGAAAGAAGATATCGTGATTTCTATAGTCTCTACCGTCGATTGACATCTTTATTTGCTGATCAAGGCTGGACGCTTCCTACACCTTGGGCCTCTGTGGAAAGAGAATCCAGGAAAATATTTGGAACATCGCCCAATGCCGTTGCTGAAAGGACTATCCTTATACAAGATTGTTTAAACTCAGTTCTCCAGTCCCGATTTTTTCCCACACTTCCAAATGCTTTACTTCGGTTTTTGTCCCCTCAAGATAAAAGTTCTTCTGGATCAGATTCCATAATGTCTCCAACAGGCTCTGCTGGCATCACTGTTGCTGCAACAAGTTCATCCTATGGAAATACCATCTCGCTTATTGTTGATATTCGGCCTCACAAATCAGTGAAGCAGTTGCTAGAAACTCAGCATTACATTTGCGCTGGATGTCACAGATACTTTGATGATGGAGCCACTCTTGTGCGAGACTTTGTGAAAGCTCTTGGATGGGGCAAGCCTCGACTTTGCGAATATACTGGTCAATTGTTTTGTTCTTCCTGCCATACAAATGACATGGCGGTCCTGCCAGCGAGAGTGTTACATCATTGGGATTTTAATCGTTATCCAGTTTCTCAACTGGCAAAATCATATCTGGACTCCATACACGAGCAGGTAATTTAGGTCTAACGATATTTGGTGTAAGTTATTGTCAGTTTCTGAAAACTGATTAACCTTGAATTTACAAATTGAAATTTTACCTTTTGCCCTTACTGACTGTAGAGGTAGGTAGAACACTTGCATGGACAATACCTTGCTTCCAGCTTGATATACGTGTTTAGTGTACACATAGAGATGATACCTGCATAGCTGCTCAAGCATATTCATTTATACCTTTAAAAACTCAGGACTGGAGCCATGATGTAGGTTTAATTGTAAAAATTGATTCATTTTTGAGTCTCGATTTCACTTAACAGCTTGAAATTTAACAATGAACATAGATGTTTGTTTCTGTAGCAATAAGCTCTAGTTCCTTCGCTGTGTAGCATGCAAGTCGTTTTTAATGCCTTTTCCCCGTTTTTAGCTTCTTTGAACGACCATTGTTTGCATTTTCCATTTACTTATGAGCTGGCTCATTGTCCGAAGCTTTATATATAACCTCGTACTTATTTGAAGATATAATTGATGTCTGTGACAAATCTTATTTTGCAGCCTATGCTTTGTGTCAGTGCAGTCAATCCTTTTCTTTCCTCGAAGGTCCCTGCACTCAACCATATTATGAGCATCCGGAAAAGAATAACAATTATGCTTCCATATGTACACTGCCCATTCCGCAAGACACTCAACAAAGGACTCAGTACTCGGAGATACATTTTTGAGAGCACTGATTTTTTTGCTTTGAGAGATCTAATTGATCTTTCGAAAGGGCCATTTGCAGGTACATTAATGTTCTTGAACCAGGATTTAAAGTTTATCTATGTCTATGCTCATGCTGACACATACATCATTTCCATCATGCTGACATATCTTCTTTACTGGTGATGGATTGTTCTTCAAAGATAATAAAGTTAAATTCAGATCCCGTATTTCTCTAGCAATTGATTTGCGATTCAACTCAACGCTGCTACTTGTTTGATGTTTAATAGTTTATCTTTTCCTTGCATTCTAACTTTTATTCAAGAGATTTAAAGACATTAACCTTGGATGGCAGCTCTTCCTGCAATCGTGGAGACTGTTCGGAGGAAAATACTGGAACATATCACAGAACAGTGCCTTGTTTGTTGCGATGTGGGGGTTCCCTGTAATGCCCGACAAGCTTGTGATGACACATCCTCTTTAATATTTCCATTCCAGGTGAGCATCTATTTTACACTTGCAATGAATATATTACACATATTCTCCTGCTCTCTCAGTTTTTGGTGTTTGATCACCATATCAAAGGCTTGACGGCATTGGATTCCCTATTCTTGGTGTTTAAAGTTCACTTGCAAATTTCATCGTGCTCAGTATTCCGTTATCAATCCGATGCGGTTTAATCTAATATATATTGAATTAAATGATTAGCAGGAAGATGAGGTTAACAAATGCCGGGCGTGCGGTCTGGTTTTCCACAAGAAATGCTTCTCAAGACTCTCAAACTGCCATTGCGGAGCACAACTAAAGCCAAACAAGAGCTCTGCAGAGGTGCAAGTGTCGGAGAGGAAATCAGATTCCACGTCTGTCTTGCCTCTAAGATTCCTCACGGGTTTATTTGGAAAGACAAAGAAAGACAAAGAAACAACTATTCTAATGGGTTCACTTCCAACCAATGATCTATAGGTCCGATTCTTTTGTGTATGTGTTTGTTGTGTAAAGCTTTGTCTTTTGTAATGTAAGCCTTGTTGTGTAAAGCTTTGCCTTTTGTAATGTAAGCCTCAGGTTAATCACAACCAATTGTACTTGTTTAACATAATTTATTTTACTTTCTCTTGTCAAAAGATAATAAAGTACGTTCTAGTGAATTTCTTCTACACAACATGTGCAAAAGGAGTAATATGCTGGTCGTGAAATTGTTTGCTCCGCATATTTGTGGAGTGAATTGCAAGTCCGAACCCAAAATTTCATCAAATACCTACTCCAGTAATTCTTTATATTGCGTATACAAACCTAAGTAGAACGTTTATAATAAACTCTTAAAACAAAATAACTAAAAAAAGTGATTCTAGTCCAACAATCTGATGTTCTTGTGGGATCAGATCCATTTAAATATGAGAAGAAAATATTAGACTATCCATATTCACACTACATTTTTCATATCCGAAACTTCCTTTCTCATACCGATAAAACTATAGAATGCTCCCTATCCTCCCGCGTTAAAACAAAATTTGGCAGCTAAGTATTCTGAGCTTTACACAAAAATTTCTCTATTTACACAACTGACTGACCAAACACTGGGAAAATGTAGAAGAAGAAGGTGGTTTGTTACATCCAGGCTCCCCAGCCAGGGAACATATGCGCTAAACGATCTGCGTCAATCGCATCTTGTATTAGTTGTTGTGCCTACAAAGCGATTGAGCAAATACACTTGAGTAACTTGTGAACCAATAACAACCAATAACTTAGAGAGAGCTTTTGATCAAAATGTCAAAAATAAAATAAGACCTGGCCATGTATGCTTCTCATCTCACCACCCTCATAGCCATCCAGTTTTTGCTTGACACGCATCAAGGCACGTGCAGCATCCTTGTTCCCCTCGAATTCCTCTTGTAATCCTTCCAAGTTCATGCCATCATAATCTTCAGTTTCCTGGATCAAAGACCTTTGTTTCAGAAACTCGACAACATCTTAATATTGACAGGACAAGACAATGAAGAGGAACTCAAAATGATTTGCGCAATTATTGCGTCAAGAAGTAGTTTCAAAAGAGAGCATTAAACTGGCATTTATTTAAACAACAGCCAAATCTCCGTTCTGGCCATCTCTACATGCAAGTATCCCTGGTAAAAGTCCACTTTATAACTATTTTCCCAGAGATTGCAACACATGCATTGCATTGTTCTTGTTCAATTACAAAATAAAACTACAAGGCACAGGGTACCTTCTGTCTTTGCAAAGCCTTCAAGGGAGACAAGGCCCATTTGTACAGAGGATCATGTATAAAAACCTGCAAAACAAACGACCTTGATTGAGCTTTCAGAATGTTTTCTATTTAAAGCATCCAAAATTAAACTTTAAGATTGGGTTACTTCAACAATCGTAAGCAGCGCCTCTTTATTTGTTCGCATCACAGAGAGGGTTTCTTCGCAACATTTCCTGAAAACGCCTTCCACTCCTGTGATACCCATTCCATCAATTATGTCTCTTGTCAGCCTGAAAGGGACCTGTCAAATAGGGAAGAACTGAACAAATGAGAATCATGCAGATGCCAATTAAATATTTAAAGTGAGCAGATGGAAGGATCCATACCCGTTCAGGAGTCTTGAGCATTAATCCTTGTTCAAATGCAACTCCAAGATCTATGTGGACAACTTCTGCCGTGGCTTGATCGATTAAAATATTCATGGCATGACGGTCACCAAGACCAACGATGTACCCAACCTGATAGCAAACCAAATGCCAAATGTTCAAACGGATAAGAACATCTATTTAAGGTGCCTCAACTAAGAATACCACCACTTCCTATTGGATGTCAATACAAAAAAGAAGAGAGGTGACAACTCTCATAAGCTTACAAATTAATGAGCACTTAAGGAAATTTAAACTAAACTACGATTAAGAGCTTCCTAAATTATTCCACTTTCTCTGATACCTTATGTAATGCCATTTAGCAGGTATGCATGATTTTTTTTTCGGTTTTTTGTTCTAAACTATACACAACCGGGAATTCCCATCCATTATAAACTGAAAGAGAGAATAAATATCATCAAAAGTGGATATACTTGCCATTGAACTAGCTGCAACACTACGTGTATAAGCAAGCCTCTTCACAAACCAGTCAGCAGGCTGCAAGAATTTTTCCAGGAAAAAGTAATGCATGACAGGCCTGCAAAAGGGGATGGATTTTTCAGCAACCAGCCAGTACTTACGGAGTAAATTAACGTTTCACAAAGAACGAAACCTGAAGTTTGTGCAGACATCCATGAAGGCTTTTTGCTTTTCCTTTGCCTACAAGCCACCAGTTACCACAGATTAATTGAGGAAAATTACAAGATGTAAATGATGGCCAACTAAGAAGATCTGAGAAATAAAATGAGCTTACATTTGACATATGTTCTCGGCATTTAGGATATTTCCAGTTCCCAATGCCATAACGACCATGAGCACCCTCACTCCTTGAGCTGTGATTTGATATGCAAACAGCCAATTCGAACTATTATGACTTGGAAGAGTGATTGTGTACCATGTAACTACAATCACTAATTTACTAGACCAACCTTCCTATAAGATAATCTCCAAGTGGAATTGTGCCATCAACCCACTCAAGAACACCAGCGCTTGGAGTAAAAGGAATAACCTGAGA